TGATACGGACCAATGCCGATGGGATGATAATAAGTAACCCCCCCCCCCCCCCCGAGGAAAGTTATATATTGTTCCGACCAGTCCCCGCTACCTATCTGTTCAGAACGTATCAAAACTGTAAATCAAGTGAAAATGAAGAAAGAGTATCCAACAACTGCTGCTCTGCATCATTAATAATGGCAGATATTATACTATAGTTTTACCAATATTAATACTAATTATCATTTCTTTTTTTTTTAAACCTAATTAAAAGTCCCAGTGGATTAAATAAAATGGAAAAACTACTTGTAGCCAACTAGAGCATGGAAAAAAAAAATAGAAAGGGGAGGAGGAGGAGTTGCACCAACCGACATGAGGGTTACCAATAGTAACAAGCATGAAGAGTAGCGAAGAACGATAACAGCAGCAACTTGAAACTACTGGTACATTTCATCCAATTTCGTCATTTTCTATTTGAAACTAGTAACTAGTACATAGTATAACAATTCGAAGGATTTGCTGCGGTTGATCTTTCTCTCTTCTAATCACTCTGTCTGTAGTTTCGGATTAGAAAGTGGGCAGAAGATATGCGTCTGTCTGATTATATACACACTCGTCTTCTATAGTATAATCTTTGGTTGGATTCCGATGTGAATTTATTTGGTGGCTTATAGTTCTTTACTCTTTTCACCTTCTTCCCCATTCTCATTTGATTTTACTTTACTAATTGTACTAATTACTAATAGGGACTCCAAATGGGAAAAGCTGCTGAGAAAAGAGCTGCCGATCGAGTAGAAAGAGTTGTGATCGCAACCAAAAAAAAATTGTCAGAATGAGAAACAATAATGATCGAGTAAGTCAAAATTTTGTTGTTTGCAAATTAAATGTGTACATATAATATGTGTGTGTATACATATATGTATATGTATACACACACACACACAGAGTACAACTACTACTGCGGACTAAAAAGAAGCACTACTACTAGTAGCTAGTAGTGATAGCAGTAATTTATTCCTTGTGAAGTCAACAAAAAAATAATTTCCTTTTTTTATTCTTTTGGGTAACAAAAAACAATCAGAGCGAGCATTAGCCGAGCCGGCCAGCAGAGATTTGATTCTTCATACATATAATATGCTCACTATAGCATTGCTTCAGGATGGACTATGGAGGAGCTTATTCACAAACCGGGGGTGAAAGGTACACCGGTGGCTCTTAACCAGCGATGGCCTTGAACGAAACTATCAACCGTGTACAGAGAAGCCTCCCGTCCGTCAATGAAGCGGCTGCGGGTGAAATTCTTGTTCCTGGGTGCCACTGCACCCGGCCCCTGTTCGCGAACTCCAGATATTCGCAGGTTTTCTCAAAAGTCTCCCCCTGCCACTCAATGTACCCTTGTGGACGGATCAGATCCCCGATATCCGTCTGCATGATCACCGTCTTTGCGAATTTCTTCCAGGGTCGTCCCAAGTAATTGGCAACCTGGAACCTCACCGGGAACAGGGCATCTTCTGCCACTATTTGGCAGTTCTGCAGCACCAGTCCCGTCCTGTCCTTCTCCAGCTCTTTCCCGTCCGCCGTCACTGTGTTGTACTGGTTCGGCAACCCTTTTCTCACGATGATCACGCTGTTCTGGATCACCGCCGAACCTTTTCCGAAGATGAAGTCGACTGTCCCCGATATGACGCAGTTGCGGTAGAACTGCCTGTGCGTCTGGTAGTAGAGCGTGTCTTGGAATCCCTCCATCTTGCAGTCGAACACTGCCGCCAAGTCTCCCATGATTCGGAGAGCCACGGCCTGATGTCCCTCGGGTCCCGCCGTGTTCCTGAACGTCATCCCTCGGGCCATGAATCTGTCCCCAAGGACAGAAAAGGTGGCGGTGTTGGAGGTCTGGATGTGCATGATCCCAAAGTTCTTGCTTCCCGTCACGATGGTCCTATTTGCCCCATCTCCGTAGATAAACACGTTGGCCTGCTTCTTGTCCACGATGACGTTCTCCTCGTAGATCCCGGCCTTGACGTAGATGACGTACCTGCCTCGCAAGTTGGCCGGGTAGGCTGCCAGGGCCTGGGAGATGGTCTTGAACTGTCCGCTTCCGTCCTTGGCGACCACGGCATTGGGCAGAACTCCGGCGCGACGGTGCGCTGCCAAGAGCCTGCGATCTCCGGCGGGAAACCATTGTGGGAAACTCTCCTCGTGGCCCATGACGTCATTGTCCTGGAGGAGACGGCGGCCTCCAGCCGGGGGCAGGATGTTGCCGAGGCTGATGTTGAAACCCTTGAGAAGGTCGGACAAGCTGGCGACGATGCTGACGGCATTGTCGGTGAGCTGAGTGGCGTTAAGCATGCCGTTCTCGAAGGCGCTTCTTAGCTCCGGCTTATCGAATTCGTCGAGGCAATCGGATTGGTAACTGTAGACGGCGCTCAACCAGTTGAGCAACTCGTCCACCCGATCGTTGAGGGTGTGGAGTTCGCTGTCCCCGACGGTGGAGATAGCAGCTTGGAGCTCGTCGACGGCGTAGCCTAGCCAACTCTTGGCAGTCTTGGGCGGCGACGTGATTGTAAGGATCTTGCTTGGGGTCGACTTTTGAGCCGGTGGCGTTGGCAACCTGCAAGCTTTCTGGACCTCCTGGATGGTAGCGTTGAGGGCAGCCATGAGGTAGTCCTTGGGGGATGCAGTTGCATTGTTGGCGACGGACTCAACACTCTTGGCACAGGCATCTTTGAAGTTGGTGGACTCGCAGAAGGTGGTGACGGATTTCATTGAGGAGCCGGCGACGTTGTTATTCTTCGAATCTTCTCCATGTTTTAAACAACCGCTACGCTCCGATGATCACTCCGACGACGAGAATCAGGGATACTACTGAAACTACAACTTTTCCTCCCATCATCTTGGCGCCAATAATATACCAGGGTCGAAGATGTATATATATATTTTTTAGTGTATATAGTAATATGTCCTTTTTCTCTCTCTCTCTGTGCAAAAAAGAATGAGTTTTTTTTTTTTTTTTTTTTTGGGTGCTAGCACTGCAATTTAATCAGAGAGAGAGATCGAGAGAGAGGAGGAGGAGGAGGAGGGAGCCTGAGAATCGAAAAGAAAAGCAAAGAAAAGAATTCTCTTCTTTTCTTTGCCTTGGATGCAATGCTTGGCTTGCTTCTGCTTTTGTGCCAAAACCCATCATGTCTTTTTATAGGTACATGAAATAGAGAATGAGCTAAAAATAGAATGGCGGGGGGGGGGGGGCATCTGTATCTGTGGTGGCGGTGAATTCCGAAATAGGAGCTGCGATTCGACGACCAATTATGACCATATATTATATTACTATATGAGAGATACTCTTCTTAATTTCTCCTCTTCTACCGCGCAAAAATAGAGAGTGATGAGTGGCAAAACGCTGTTTTAGCTTTGTAGCAACGAATTCTAATAAAAAAAAAGGTAATAATAAATATCAGCCAATGGTAATAATAATTATATTTATTAATACCAATAATATCAGCCAACATCTGCATGCATGCAGAGTAGTAATGCATGCACGCACAACAACCGCACAGTGCATACAAAACTCCGCCCTTTTTTCCCACGTACTCTCACCTCAATCATAGGATTTATTCATATCTATATATATATATATATTTTGCGGTCAGCAGCAGTCATAAGTCTTGATTTTCGTATATATTATTATTATTTCCTAACTCCCATCAAACTGTTACTCACCCAAGTCAAATTGCTTTACTCCGCACGCATTGACTTGTTTGGGGGGGGGGGGGTTCAAAAAAGTAAACCGGAAGAAATGCTACTAGTGTGTTTTTGCATCAAGCCCACCACCACGGCTGCCTGCATAAGAATTCGATACTGAAACCTATGTTTTCAGAACCGGACCGGATATCGACTCGCCTGAGGTCAGGGGTCAATGGATTCGACCGGGGTCGAATCGGATGACGTCATAAATAAAAATTATTTAAAAATTAAATTATTGTATATAAAATATCCAATAACATATTGATATTAATAAAGGTATATTCATATATATTTGATGTTTCAAATATATTTAACAAGAAAATACAAAGAAATTAGAACAATCAAGTAACAATTTATATTATTTAATAAACATTAACAAGTTTAGAATTAAAATTATGGATTTAATTGAAAAATAACATCAAATTTTAGGACAATATTTATAAAGTATGAAATATTTGAGGTATATTAATAAATTTTCACAATTTAGGGGGCCAAAATATAATATTAAAAAAGTTTGAACTTTTTTTTACAAAAGCTCCTGTTGGACCGGTTTTTCCGGTTTTGTACCGGCCAAACCCGGGTTTTGACCGGAGTTGACCGGGTTTTGAATCTCCCGGTTTTGATGATCAACTCGAATCAGACACTCGATCGGTTCTCGATTCAACCGGTCGGACCGGCTGGTCTGATCCGAGTTTGAAAACACAGACTGAAACCTATGAAATCCTCAATGTCAGGGTCATCTGTACGAAAATCTAACGACAAACAGCGTGTTCCTTCTTTCTTTTACTTTTTTTTTTTTTTTTGGTACCAAAATAGTTATTTTACTATTATAAAGTATGCATTTGTTTGTTACCTTAACTAACTTGCACCAAAATAGTTTTTTTTTTTTTTTGCTCTCACGGGATGGTCCAGCGGTAAGCCGGCTCTTAAGAACTTTTGCGGTCCTGAATTCGAATTTTATCCTGAATTTAAATCCTGTGACTCGCTCGGAATCACTGTGTGAACGCACTCCTTTGGTTCGGTGTGCTGGCTTGGATCCTAAGGATTCAAGTAGGGCATGTTTTGGATTAAAAAAAAAAAAAACTTGCACTTTTTAGCCACTCAACGTCAACGCATGAAAGCACACACTTTCCTGTCACAAAAGTGCATGTTTTGTTTTGTTTTGTTTTAACTTTTAAGTTAGTGGAGTGAATATTTTGACTAAATACTAAAAGGTTTAGTCACCCAAACAGCACACAGGATTCTACGCGGAGACTCTGGCGCAAGTCCATCAACTCTTCGAGAGCGTCAAGGTCCACCAAACTAGTAGTACCCTTTAGTACCACTAAATAAACAACACAAAAGGAAAAAATGAGAAGGAACGGGAGAGGAGGGGGTATAGTATACGACTATACGAGAAGAAGGCATGGAGGGAGAGGAGGCCAAATTGCTGCTAGGATTCCCTCCTCATTCTCATCCCTCTCCATCCCAGGTAGGAGGATTCGAATTCCATAATCATCAGCCGGTTTGGTCATTACTAAATTAATTGAGCAAGCATGTATGTAGAATTGGCCCCAATTCCTTCCTTGTACTTTTGAATTCTATTCGGCTGCCATCCAATTCGAGATTCGTCATCGGACCATTCTGTCTATATGATTTTGGTTAGCCAAGTAGCCAGTTGGTAGTCGCTATAAAATTTTTTAGATCCCTTATTGTTCAGCTCTCTTGTACTACTGCTGTTATTGTGCCTTTAATACCTGTAAATAAATTTTTTTTTTTTGGTTTTAATGGCAAGTGAAGCGGAGGGATACGACTCCGTACGTATTGTTCTTTCTCTCTCGGTCTCTCCTTCTTTGTTGGGTTATATGTACTGCTCTACTTTGTACGGAATTAGTGAATAGCAGTATCGCTCACGATTGATTCAGGAATAGATGATGGGTGGATGGACGGACTACATCCTGATTGATGAATAACCTACAGTTAGAGAGAGGAGTTAGCAGTAATCCCCTTTCTCTTCCTTAATTAGATTAGTGGGTTAATAAAGGGTACAGCAGCAGCAGTTGTAACTGTTAGTAGCTTTCTATCAGTTTTTTTTTTCCCATTGAATTGAATGTTTTGATGATAGTAGTGGATGAAATTAATGTACTAGTACTACGTTGCTGCAGGTGAAAACTGCTTACAAGTCCAAGGTCTGGGACACTCATCCTGATCGCTTTCCTCCTCATCTCAAATCCAACGCTGAGCATCGTTTTAAGTTGGTAACACTACTACTAACTGCTCTTGCCTAGTGCTAGTAAATACCCAGTTCTGCTTTTCTTTTTTTTTTTTTGGGTGTCTGTCAAGGTTTGCAGCTTTTTCCAGAGACTTGCTATCCCATCGTATGAGCTTTCCCAGTAGCAGCTAGTTCTTATACCATCTCCTTAATTTCTCCCCCCCTTCCAAATGCAGATATCAGAAGCTTATGCTTGCCTTCGATCTGGTATTTCCCCCTTTTCTTTACTTTTTTATTCTTTGTCTTTGCTCTCCGGATATACCTATTCCTATCCTTTCATCCAGTCTCTCTGATTAGTTTTTGGATTATTTCCATTTTACAGTTTTACACATTTCTCTTGCAAAATCTCGTGCTATGTAAATAAGGAGATTTTAGCTGACACATAAGATGGACATTGAACCCAAGGGTTCTAGATTCATCTTTAAGTACCTGCTCCTAGCCTCAAGTCTCTGTTTGCTTACCTGGTCAATAATCCGAAGTGCTGTCTAAATTTCCAGTATTCATGACTCTATTTGGTTGTCTGTACTTAGTTTTGCTCTTTCTTGCGTTTCTAATGCAAACTTCTGCTGCTCTTTCAAGTTTGACCTGTGACAACTAAGATTTCATTTGAATTCTCTTTCTTACTTAAATTTTGATAATTTCTTAAAAAGTACCACTGCATGTTTGGGTTTAGAATATGGAAAGGTGGAATGTGTAATTTACCAAACATAATTATAAACTGCTCTGCCCCTAGTGTAGAACTATTTGTTCACTAAAGGCTGATAAAACCAAGGATGTGGATCATCCTAACGACTAGGATCTGATATCTTGTACTAATAATGTGTCAATGCTTCAATCACTAGCCAGAAATTTCGAGCCCTTGTTATTCACAGTTCACCAAAACTTTGCAGATCCTAAGATAATTTCGATAATTATGGTGGACAAAATGGTTCCTTTGGGTGTTACCTCTTGAAAAGCCATATTCTGCTTGTTGAGCTGCTTTTGTCATGATCTGTGCTAAATTGAGGTGTGGGGATATCTGGGGTACACAACAACTATTGACGCCACAACTTGAATTGTGTACGACTTTTTCTCTCCCACTTGTTATTTATCTGGTAAATGTATTCTCATCCATGATCAGCATCATATTCAAAAGTTGTGAGAAGTGGAGTTCCAAGAGCATGTGGCAGTGGGGGGCATCGCGCTCTGATTGCTGCTCCCTTCCTCCTCATTGTTCTGAGCACTGTTGCTTTTGGAGGATCAATTGTTACCAGGTTATCAGAATCTAATGATAAAGATCTTCATTAGTTAATTAAATTACTGAGTTGGTCTAAGCGGTTATATACTTTGCCATGATATGCATCAGGTCCTACAAAAGACAAAAGGAGGCTTATCCTTCTCATAACCCTTTTCTTCCTTGATCGTAACCACCAGGCAGACCATCTCGTTTCAGCAGTGTATGTGTTCTTGTCCCAAAACTTTTACATGTTAGAAGTTCATTTTCTGCTGTCTTTGCAATTCTAAGGTGAGTGTTGGTGCAAACCAACCATACACTTGATTGTCATTGTCATCAGTTGAATTGGGATACAATCTTCCGACAAATTAATACAAGTTTTTTTTTTTTTTTTCGCTTGCAATATTAATCATCTAGAGTGGAAGATCTTGGGTGTGTGTTGTTGGCCCGGAGATATGGCGGATCGAGATAAGGTGAAAATTATGGTGATCAAGAACAGGAGTCTAGCAAATTAAAATAAGTTGTGGACGAGGAGGCAGCAAGGGTGATAAAGGAGATCCTTTGGGGGATATTAGAAGCGTTATTGTTGTTGGTTGGAGACCACTAACCAGGCAACTGGGACTTTAGTTTTAGAGCTAGGTGTTTCCCTGGGCTGGCTGTGGCTGATCCTCTCTAATGTGCATATGTAAATAGTTAGCATGCTCGTTAAATAAAAAAAAAAACTTGTTTCAATTTGTTTGAGGGGTGTCAATTGTTAACCATGTCACATATTTTGGTGACGCATATTGACATGTAACGCATGAGGAAAATCACGTGAACAAAGCTCTCCTAGTGAATGAACTGATATATTGTAGGATCAGAATGGGGGAGCCACTGTGTAAGATATGTGGGGAAGAAGAGGAAACGGTGGAGCACTGAAAAAAAACAGGAGAGGTATCACCCATTCCACGGGTGATACATAGACACATTATAAGTACATATCAATAATTTTTATGATAAAATGATTATTTTTGGTTTACGTGGAACTTTTTACATGTTGTAAGTTATTTACCAAAAAAATAAAAATAAAAATAAATATGATGGTTGTGAGTGTAGAATTGCTGTACACAGTAAGAATATATGCAAATCTATTATGAAAAAATCATAATACTCGGCAATTATTAGTTGAATGGGAATCAATCATGTATGAACATCATTCAACGATCAACAAATCAATCAGCTACCTACTTACCATCTCTCTCTCTCTCTCTCTCTCTATCCATCAATTACCAATTTCTCTCCCGGGCTGGCTGGCACTTGGGTATGGATATGAATATAAATACTTGCAGAAGCAGGTCACCTCCCATTCCAAGGCCAGGCAATGCCACTACTAGCACACGGCTTAAAATGGTTCTTGCTAAGCGTTTACAGTCAAAAATCACACAATAATCTTCAAGGCCCAAACATGAAATTCAGCAGTAAGATATAGATAAAAAAAAAAAAAAAAAAGTACATTCAAAACGGCATTTACAATGGAATGGAAGACGTATTTTGACTGACATCTTCTCACCATCTTTTTTTGAGTTTTTGACACTTGAAGAAACCCTTCATTAGAGTACCTCTCATTGCACAGCAAAACAATACCCCTCTCAGATCTTGCAAATGGGAAAAATCAGGAATGCCCAGCTTCCCATACGCAACATGTAGGGATTGGTAATTTATCCTAATGGGTGGTATTCACAGCTTTATCACAGTGAAGAATCTTATGCCGGATGAAGGCATTCCATAAAGTTCCAAAGCTAATTTGAGAATTTTAGACACCTGAGGTAAAAATAGTAGTGTGTATGTGCTAATTTGTTTGAGGTCTGGGTTCACAATAATAATGGTCTTCCATGTCCGTCACCAAAAAAGCCTAAAACTCTAAAATGAATGACCAGGGAAGAATACTTCGTGATGCTTGTAACATGTCGTGCTGTACCTGTTGCTAGTTCATAAATTTTGCATCAAAGAGAACCCGTCTTTCAGTTCCAGACCAACTGACCTTGTATGCAAAACACCTGTTACGATGCGATGCGATACAATCTCTCAATCAAATCAATCACGCCTGATTTTCTGGAAGAGTGACAGTGATTGGCTGCCATCCCGATTGAGCAGCTATTACCCACCTCTTGACGTTGATTACCATGTACAAAACCTGAAGCACCTCACCCAGTGACAAATCTTTCAAGCATGCACTTTTCAGAGTCAAAGCTGCTTCATACCTGGACAGCAAAGCTTGCAACATTGAAGTGAAGCTCACACATTTGATTGTTTAAACTGTATCACATCACCACCATACCGAAATGCAATTCAATTACCTGCTCTCAGAAGCCATCAATGCCGAACGTCCATAGGAAGAAGCAAGGAACTGCTGAATCACGTCCCACATCAGTTTTGGATACTGTTTGGTGTTACTATCAATGGGGTTCACACACTTCCATAACCTCTCAAGCCTACCAACATATAGCTGCACGTCCCCTAGATTTTGCTTTACAATCATCTGTTGCTCAAGCGCAAAATCCAAGGCCTTTCTTACATCAATGTTGCGAAATTTCGGATTGCCATAGCGTATGCAACTGGTTATGTTTGCTTCGCTAGGGATAATTTTTTCCACTTTAAGTGTATTCAAGGCGAGTAAGATAACTCCTACAAGGCCCGAGCATAGTCAGGCGGCGGCTGGCATCCTTCACTCCCCCAAACACTACCATTACTTGGAGCAGCTCGCGGTGTAAGTGTTACCGAGGGCGAGATTGGACAGGGCAAAGCAGGATTCTGATTATACTTGTTATCTGCCGAATTATAATAATAAGTTGGCGGCCAGCATGCAAAGCAACGCCAGAAGAACTATGTGCTCCATATGAGCTAGCTAGACCTGAACATTTCACGGAATTGGGCTGGTTGGAATTAGCAGCATTTTTCGGACAATCTAGTAAATTAAGCTTGGCGATATCGGTTGGGTTTGGGAATGAGGCAGCAGTGTTCCTAATTCCATCAAGCCCTGGAGGACAAGGGAGAAAAGCACCACCGGGACAGTTAGGCTGGAAAAGATTATCTGGAATAGGAGCACATTGACATTGAGTGAGCTGACATTTGTAAAAGCTATTGCCAATGTCAGCTGAAGCAAAAAATGGAGGTAGACCTACTTGAAGATGGCGAGACCGAGCTGAAACCAAAGAATTCATGAGGAGCTTTCTTAAACTGGATTTCTGGATGGCTTTCTAGTTGCTGAGAATAATCGGTGCCGGAGTTCTCGTGCATCCGTGACGGCATACTTGATGCTCTAGCGATATATAGTTGACTCGGGGGGTCTTTAATAACAAACTTGGTAGATAGTCGAGCATCAGGGATGGTCGAGTCAGAGAGTGAAGCAGGCGAGGAATCATGGCGTGACATGTTGCCGAGTTCCGCGGGCGTAAGAGGAGAACCTCCAGAAACAAGGGTTGTCCAACGCCAGACGCTCTTGGCGGCGGCAGCAAGAGCAGCGGAAGCTTGTAGAGGTTGTGCAAGAAGAATGTTGTACCTGCGCATGCGCAATTGATGGAGAGCATTGGAGAAATCGCGGTCACCAGAAATAAGCAGATAATTTGCAGGAGCAGGATTGTCAACAGCCCAGAACAGCATATCAACAAGAATTTTCTTGTCACTGGCGTCCTTTGCCCTGTTGAGAAATGTACGGACGAGAAGATGGTTAGTTGTAGGATCTGGGAGCTAAAATGTAAAGGCAACTTCTTCGTTTGATTTTAAGAGGATGAGAATGAAGATTGATGGAGGAGTGAATTGCAAAGTCGCGAGTACTAGAGAAGAAGGAAGGAAAAGGCCAAAAAAAGAAGAAAAAAAAGAAAAAGAAAAAAAGAGTGTGTGTGTGAAGGAATTGAGTGATTTGGGAATCGTAAAATAATACCGGCGGGGACGTGATTGAGTGCGATGCCGGTGCTAGAGAGAGCCTGCTGAACAGAAGAGGGGATGCGGTTGGTGTCGCCGTAGGCGGAGATGGAAACGGGCCCACAATAGTCGAGCTTGACCAGTGCGGAGCTTATGTTCTGGGCGATTACGTGGGCTTCGCACCCTCTGGGTACCTGGCAGTTCTCTATGTCCCACCAAACCGACGTCTTCGCCGCGCTGTATTGCCCTTCCGCCGCCCACCTCCACCTCGCGCCACCACCCTTCTCCATTCCTGATTTCATGCCTTCCTTCTTCTTCTTCGCCGCGCTGTACAAGTAGCCGTGTGCTTTTTAATTTATTTCTTTCTTCTTCTCTCGGTCTATATATATATATATATATATATATATGCGCGGGTCCTTCTGTCCGTCTCTCTGTCACTACATCATCAGCATCAGAGCGAGCGAGCGTAAGCTGGGAATCAGGCGGAGGAGGCACCTTTCTTTCTTTCACGGTTTCACCCACCACGACGTCGTCCCTCCGGTCCGGCTTTTCCAGGCCTATTCGTGTGGAGTACGTACTACTCTATTAAATACTCCACCACTAATTACCACGCTTATATATATATATATATATATATATCTCATTATATTAAACAAATTTAATGAGTTACTACTGGTTGCTTTAAATTTGATCACCACCACGTCGCTGTATAATTATTATGGGACTACGGCCCTCTGAAGAAACCCGATAGAGAGAAAGAGAGGGAGGAAAAAGAAAGAAAAAACAAGAAAATGGTCAAATCACTCTGTCGAGGGGGTCATTAACCACATTTTTGAGTACAACATCCAGATACATTTTGTTATTATTATGAACATGAACATGAACATGAACAAACAAATGTAAGCAGAGCAGGGACTGACTGAAAATAGCAGTAGCAACATCAACATCAACATCAACATCAACATCAACGATGGTCATCATAATAATAATAATAATGATAAGAAGAAGAAAGGAAGACGGATGGATGTTCTCGATCGAGTACAAAATTTACTTTAAAATCTTGGAAATGAATCTCTCTCGCTGCATATATGTATATATATATCATATACACTTGACACTTGTCCAGTGTGAAAGTGAAAGAGAGACTTTTGCTCAAGCTCCTGTATTTTTCGCCTGAAGAGCATCAGCAACTCAAAAATTGGCCACAGATCTACGTTTGACCAGTTTCACCAGCATTTCCAGGCCTGGTATTTAACAGAGGTTGCAATGCTTTGACTACGATGCTCATGTTGGGTCGGAAATCAGCTTCATATTGCACGCACAACGCAGCAACAGCAGCCATCTGCATTTCAAAGCCAAAATGGCAAAACCACGTCTCTCATTTTTTCCTCTTTACCTTCTTCCCATATGTTAGTTACTACTAAGAAACTTTTTTTAAAAAAAAAAAACGCAATTGTTGGTGCAAAATGGACACCTGCTTTAATTTACTTTGACTCTCTGCAAATAAACATGACATCCCAGGTGGTAGATAAGATGTTAACAGTTCATTCTCAGTCAGCCCTCCTGATAATAATAACTAAACAAAGTCTGTGCACCCGTGATTCTCAGATAGCACTCTCAGTCTTTTCACCAAATCAAGCTCTGATAATATAGTACCGACACTTACACGTGTACTGAAACAAGCATCTCATATCAAAGTGAAATTACCTTGGCAACTGCCTTGGGAGGGTAATCCGTACCCAGTTTTGTATCCACACACTGCCTGACCTTGTCTTCACTGAGTTTTGGTGTGGCCTACACAACAGAATCATTAAATAAAAATAAAATAAAAACAGAGAGAGAGAGAAGCTCAAGCTTAATCCGCAGACGGCACAAGTAAATCAGTACCCATGTCACTAGGCTCTGCTGACCACGAGGCAGTGTATGGTCTACAGGCTTTCGTCCAGTGAGAAGCTCAAGCAGGACTACGCCAAAGCTGTACACATCGCTCTTTGCATTCAGTTGTCCTGTCATTGCGTATCTGCGAGCTCACAAAAGCAAAGTATCAAAGATGCACCCTTGTCAGCGCACTTTGAGCCAAGGACTTGGGGCAGCTAACACGCTAGCTGATTACGGTCACCTATTCCGGGGTGGTAATATTTTTGAACGCCTCCTGCTGGGACCTAAACTGAATATTGCTTTCAATGATCTAAACCCTTACTAAGCTTGGTACATGGGAACAATCACGGCACACTCCAAAGACACTGACCCTATGATGAGATCTGTTTACTAAAACCCGTATTTCGAAATTAACACAGCTATACCATTCAACAAGTTTTCAATTGACTGAGAAATGAACAAATACAATTCAAATCAGGAGCCAGATAAATCAATTACTTTCCAGGGACCACATCTGTCGAACTTAAATCTTACAGAGAGTTGGGGGCATTAGGGGGGGATGAAGACGGAGATTCATGTGGCATTGTCTTACTCTGGAGCATGATAGCCAAATGTTCCAAGAACACGTGTAGAATGGAGACGTGCTGCCATATCAGGAGCTTGATTCGATAAGTCAAAGTCAGCAATTTTAGCAACATCATCATCAAAGATCAATACATTGCTGGATTTAATATCACGATGAATGATGTGTGGATCTGCTTTCTCATGCAAATATTCCAGACCTTTGGCAGCCCAACTGCAATTTTCACCCTTTGCAACCATGAAAGAACAGGACCAGGTTGAGCTCCTTTAACGCCTTTCCTTCCTGGGAAAGAACTTGTTTATGAAAATGTACCATGCCGTAATAGCATAGCCTCAGATAGTCTTTTCCTCTATTTTATGCAGGGAGTAACCATCATGCAAGAATGAAATAACACAAAGTCTCAACACAAATTATTTAGACTGGGCTAAGAGAGCATACTGCCACAGAACCTGGTATCAGGTGAGTGAGTAAGAATAAAATGAGCCAAATAAGAGGAACTGAAGTGAAAAAAAAAAAAAACTTCAAACTTACGTAGTCACAGGTACTTTGATTGAAAAAGAACTAAGATGACGTCATTTTCTTTATAGCATGGAGGTTATTCATCATTGGTACTAACTTCGTGTTGAGTAAGCTCAGTATGTATGCATGTTGAATAAGATCTTTTTAGCATGGAATTCTAACACAAGGTTAGCAGACTGAGAAGCGCCACATGTGATTGGCTATAAAATGAGAAGCCTTGCATCTCTCCATACTGCCATGAGATGTCCATATCCACAGAAGACAGGAGAGGGAAATAGATTGATGCTATAAAATGTTATGTTTTTGTAATATCAATTACCTACCATGAAGAATATCATGGAGAGATCCATTGGATGCAAACTCGTAGGCGAGTACACGTTGGCTTCCATCAACACAATAACCAAGTAATTCAACAAAATTTTCATGTTTTAGCCTTGAAACCATGGAAACCTGAAAAATGGAAGTTTTTTGGTATTAATCCTCTAACTAAATTTCCCAACAGCAAGCGATTCATTTTGGACTTCAACAAAACCTGTGACAAGAAATCATCATCCAGTTGTTTGCTTGCGTCCAACTTCTTTATGGCAGCAGCCTGTCCACTTTTAAGAATTCCATAATAGACTCTTCCATATGAGCCCTCTCCAATTAAAGAATTCGTCCCGAAGTTGTCAGTTACTTCCTTCAATTCGTCTACCGGAATTGCAGGGACTGCAATAGGCTGGACCTTCACAGCTTGAGCCTTGGATGCAGATTCTGTGGTATGGTAACCTCCGTCATTTCCTATGTGAAAGGGATTCCACGGGTAAGTTGATCTTCTTCTTTGCTACCAATAAAAGCACCAGCAGATAATCCTCGAATATATGCAGTAGACACAAGATGATCTCTTAAAGATGGCTATATCCATATGAATATACAAAAGAAAGGACAAGTCATCATAAAGATACCAAGATTCGATACTAAACGCAACAACTGAAGGAAATATATACATATATATATATATATATATATGTACACACAGACACATATATATACAGACACACACACACACCACACACTTGCTGTCTTTCTCAGTAGGACTCAGTGCGGCTTTTGCACAGAGAAGAAAATGTGAAGGTGAAAATTGAACAAGCAAGATTACCAGCGAATGTTTAACCATGTAATGGCCACCACATCAGCGGGTTTGTTGAGGTCATCTTCTTCACAACAGCTGAAACAGCTCATAGTTTGTTTATTTAACAAATATTTTATGCAGGGTGACTTTCCTTTCCTGCAAGGGCCAAAAGCCAGTTTCGCAATACATGCAGAAAAAAGAATGGCAGCATAAGTAAACACATAAGATGCAAGCTTAGTCATAAGTGCTGGAGAAGATTGATCGTGCTTAAATAGGTAAGAAAGCTTGTTCTTTCAAAGCACGAGCGGGACTACAAAAGTTACACAATATGCATTTGACCTCTGAAATATAGTTAGCGGCATGGTTTAGCAGATTGTATCATAGTAGTGAAGTAATCTCAATGCTCGTCTTCAAACATATATTAAAAAAAAACTAGTAATCCATATGCTAGCAGAAGTAATCCATATTAAAAAGAAATAAGTTAAGGCGAGGCAGTCGTTTAGTAGACAGTGTTGATATTTTTTGACGAGCAGGGTGCGGAATAGGAAGGGTTAGATCTAAGAGGATCATGCTACAGAGCTGGTCCCCTTGATCAATTTATTAACTTTATACTAGTACTAGTACTAGAGAGTAGAAACCCAAGTAACAGCAGCAGCATCCAATCAGTAGTGCAGGGATAATAGCTCCGATCAATTAAGTAAATTTCGTGGGTGGGTTTGATTCCTAACTGAGTAGTAGCACTGAACTGGAAAGCGGACGACAGAGTAGAATAGAGAAGCAGTTAGTTGCAATGACAAAATCAATCCCCAAGCACAACTGTAAGTCCCAAAATTGATGAAGGGGGGAAAAAGAAAGAAGATCAATGATAAATAAACAAGAAAAAGGGTCCATCCAAGAATGAGAAAGCATTTCATTGATTGATTGATTGAGTCTAGCATAAAAGAAGGAAGAGAACCTGAGAAGCTCTTTGCTGCCTCCCGACTGAATTAGCAGCGGTTATTATGGTGACTAAGATCACAAACACACACACCCCTGGCTCTTGATTGTGAGAAGATCGATCGATCCAACTTTACCAGCAGCAGCAGTAAGGATGAAATGGGTTGGAGGAGGAAGAGGAGGAGCAGCAGCAGCAGCAGCAGCTGTTGCGGTTGAGCCCAGCCGTCCAAATGGACCGGTCACCGATGCAAGGCAAAAATGGACCAGAGCTGGCTTCCTCTGCTTTCTTCTTTCTTGTTCTCGTTTGGCCGCTTTTTCTTCTCACTTTTCTTCTTGTTGTCGTTTGGCTATTTTTTATTCCCACTTTTCTTCTTCATCCAAAATCCAAAGCCGGCGATGAATGTGCTATTTTTGCCCCTCGTCTCTCTAATTAGAATAGTGTCTTTTTTTTCTATTTATTATGAATTTATACAAATATGAATAATTTAAATATAAAAATTAACAATAATCCTATATATTCATTCATATTATTTTTTAAAAATTAGTTTATTTTAAATATTTGATTATTTACTAAATTTTAAAATTTGTTTAGTATACATGAAATAATGTACTCCATGTCAAGAACTTGGTAGATATTCTTTTTTTATAAATATTCTTTTAAATAATTTAAATTTTTATAATAATATTAAACCTAGAACTATATATTCATCTTTATTCATATTTAATTAAGTAGAAAAGACTTGAGCGAAGGACTTGGGACAGATTTTACGGGACGAAAGAGAGACGGTGCGGAGAAGGGGCGATTTGGTAGCAACCCCTTCTCCACACTCTTTTCTCTCTCTCCCGCGACCAACTATAGCTATTGAAAGAAGAGGGGATGCAAGGAAACAGCTGTGAGGAGATGAGAAAGAATGGGATGCAATGGAGAAATCAGCAGGAAGGGGAAAGAGAGATAACGAAGAGGGAGAGAGTGAGGGACAGTAATGGAGGAAAGGGTGGCGGTAGAATGTGAGTTGTATTTGAAAATTTTTGTTTATTTATTTTGTGTATAGGAATAAGTGAATTGTATTTAGGAGTTTTTATTTATTTATTTTGTGTATAAAAATAAGGTAAGTTTGTGTATAGAAATAAGGTAAATTGTATTTGAGAGTTTTGGTGGTTTTTGAGAATTTTATAAGCTCTAAGAGGTTTAATAGGTATATTAGCTAAAAATTTGATTTAAAAAAATTATTTTCCAAATCAAACACTTGTAATACAAGGGCATTTATCTCAAAATAATTAATTTAAATGACTATCTTCAAATCTTTACCTTAGTTCAAATCTTGAGATATCGGATTGTATGAATGAAAATCATAGAGAGCTTTTTCTGTAGATTTGCTTAACCACAAGGAGGTTTTTTTTTTTTTTTGGCATTTTCTTTAACTCTAAGGGTATATATGAGTATATTAACTAAAATATTCTTTGTTTCTAGTACAAATACTTGCAAAAAAGGCGCATGTATCTCAAATTTGTTAATTCATACAATTTTTTATTACTTTTTAAAATTAGTCCAAACCACGAAATATCAAAACATATGTTTTGAAATTATATGAGATTTTTCTATAGGTTTGCTTAACCACATGGGGGTTTTCTATATTTTACCTAACATTTTATTCAAAACTCAATTAAATGCAAAAATATGAAAAAACAATGGATGGAGAACTATAAGACTTTTATTAGTTACTACTTATTCTGTCCTATAAAATAAGCTCAATAATCTTTGCGTTTGTCCTGAATTATAAATTTATTTATTGTAGATTTATTTGTTTAGAAAGGTAGTAGATTTATCAGTATATTTTTATGCACGCATTTAATATGCACCTTTGTCAACAATTATACTACTCTATTAATCAAATATTATAGTCGAAATAATAAATACAACGTTAAAACTATAATTTAATGGGATAGCATGAATGAAGAATATAATACAAACTAACAAATAACACGAAGAATTGAGAATTAAGAATGTCAAGTAAGACATCTTATTTTCTCATTGGGGGAACTATATGATTAGGAATGACAATATAGGACAGGTGCTTTTGGAAAGTCAACAAGTAGCTGATGGATATGGAGGCAGGGGTGATTTTTCTCCTCCCATTTTAAACGGGATTTGGGACGAGGTAGGATATTCTTGCCGGCTTGCCCTATCCCCTGTTACTAATATATCAATAATGTATGCACACACCACACACGTATAAATTGGCTATTTTTAGCTTACTTCAACTTTTTTCATACTGTAGTTGTTTAAATAAATATGATGATTATAAGTTTAGGTTTGCAATTAAAAGTAGATAAATGAATTAAAAAATCAAAGTGATTTTTAACATTGATTTCACATTGAATATTTAGCCAAAATCTAAAAAGTGATTTATAATATTGTTATTAATGTTATATATATAAATAATGTCAAAATAAAAAATATAATTACACAATAACAGGGACACCCACTAAGGTATGGGGCAAGGCTGGATGGGAAAGGGGGGGTTGAAAAAACATGAGATAGGAAGGTCAAGAGGAGATTTTAAAACACGGACCGAAATTGGGGAAAGATCCCCTATCCTACCCCTTGCCCATTTTCATCCTTGTATATGGTGTAAGAGATGGGTCCTTTCCACATTATAAGGATTAAGAATGGCTATGGACTGTCTCAAGAAAAATAAAAACAGAAAAAGAAAAGGGTTGTGGACCAACTAGAAGAATTGCAATGCTGATGTTTGATTTGTGTGATGTAGTTTTGAATGTTTGAATCAAATTTAAATCCTATTTGGTAAGTGAATTTTTTGAGTGTTTGTGTAAAACTTTTGTAACGGACTGTAAAAATTGTAGAAAACTTGTCGAGATTGTAACACTTTCTTTTTTTTTTCTTTTTCTTTCCACTTATTTTCTTTCTCCTCCACCCAATCATTGCTCTTTCTCCTGACTCCCTACTCATTGTTGACTTCTGTCAACAGCAAAGGAAAGAAGGAAATGGGAGAAAGAAAGAAAAAAGGAGAAGAGAATATGAGAAGATGAGAGAGAGTGAATGATGAGAGGCAGAGAGAGGAGAGAGGAAAATGAAAGAAAAGAAGTTGCTGGATGCACTGACGAAGTGTCGACCAGCGGAGATGGTGGTTGGTTGGGTATAGGGAGGAAGAAGAAGAAATGAAATAAGGAAAAAAATTTTGTGTTTTTTAATATTTTGAAGTATATACGTTAAAAACTTTGAGGAGTTTTTAAAATTATTATAATTTAGGCCCTATTTCACAAATGAGATTTTTAACTGTTTGTCTAAAAAGTTTTATTGTAAATTACAGTAGAAATTGAAGGAAAAAAATTTAAAATGGAAACCTTTTTCTTTTCTTTTTTTTATTTCTTTTTCTCTTTCTCTTTCTCTTTCCTTTTTCTTTTCTTTCTTTCTTTGTTATTTTCTTTCCTCTCTTTTTTCTTCTCCTTCCCTACCATTTTTCCCTCCCCACGATTGGAAGTTGCAATAGCAGAAACAAAATTTTTTTTTTTTGCTTTCTTCTATCTTTTTTTCTCTTCTCACTCTCTTTCTCCACTGCCACCTCTCTTCCTCTTCTCTCCCTCCCTACCGCTGGAAGTTTCGCAGCAGAAGCGGAAGCATTTATATTTTTTTTTTTTGCTTTCGTCTCTCTTTTTCTCTTATTCCTCTCCCTCTCCTCTACCACCTCCTTTCTCCCCCGCCACCCTTCCCTCTCCTTCTCCCTCGGTTGCCCAACATGATCTGGTCACGCGATGAGGGGAGAGTGGTGCGGGGAGGGAGGAGGGAGAGGGAGAAAAGGAAAAAAAATCTGTATATTTATCAGATCGTGGCTTCATGTACC